TGGCGGGCTAAAGATTGTGAAGAAAAAAACACTCCTGGCAACTTGGGCAATAAAAGATGCCAAACACCATATGGATAACGTGTCTGTGAAGGTAGTCATTCATCCAGGTCATGGTATAGCGGAAAAAAAAATAAGTCAAGGCAACTGGACTTGTTGTATTTTTCAAGAAAAATACAGCAAGTCCAGTTGCCTTGACTTTTTTTTTTTTTACAGACATATGGATAACATTCAAGAAAGTTCAATTGTCTCATAGATCCATGATTTGTTGGCCATGAGTTGGCCGCAGACTGCCACTGCAGATAAATAAAGGCTGTAATGTTTGTCTTTCCAGTATTGACAAAGATGCAAAAAAAAAAAATCCTTAAATTGCACAGCAGAGATTAAGCGGATTTTTCCCAAAACCCGTCGAGACCAACTGCATCATTTGTGCAAATGGTTATTAGGATTGCACAGAGTGGAGAAGGATTAGACCTCCTGTGCAGTTGGAGAGTCCATTGGAAAGATTCCTTTATTTCCTCTCTGCTGAAAAGGTTGTCCTAGGACAGCAAGTGAGAGGAAATCGCCAAACAGCAACACAGACAAAAAAATAAAAATTATATTATATATAGTTCTAGCCATCCAAGTAAGAAAATGATAGAACCACACACTTAAATAATGTATATGGTCAGCCCTAAATCAAACAAGAAGCCGAATACGCTTTATGGTATCATGCATGGGAAGGTTTTGCTTTTTTCCCCCAGGTCATAGTATAGATAGTAGAGCTGCACTAGCTTAGTAACATTGAGGGCCTGTTCACATGACGTCCGTTTTGTGTGCTGACCGGCTCCGTACGCTGCTGCGCTCAAAATGCATCCTAATGTATCCCTATGTGTTTTATGGGCTCCAGTTCTCACTGCGCAGTCCGTTCAGGTTACTACAGAAAAATACTGCATGTCACATTTTGTCCGGTCCGGAAACGCAACTAAGGAAAAAGTGACCTCAGAGGCTGAATCTGCATACCGACAGCCCCTTGGCTTAAAAAAAAAAAAAAACTGTCAGCATCTGGACGGAAAAGGCATCAAAAACGCACTGCGCCCTCGTTCACACCTGAACGTTTTGTAGCGCGTTCTGCGCTCGACGAACGCTCAAAAATATAAATCCCATTGTATTCAATGGTCTCGTTCCCACCTTGGCGTATTTCCGCCCGTCCCTAACGCGCTACAAAACGGCCCACGACTGAAAAGGTACAGGTACTACTTTGGGCCGTTTTGTTGCGCGTTTCCATTGGGATACAGCCAAGTAGCCTTCGGAAACGCGCGACTTCTTACCGCGAATCGCGGTAAAAAGACGCGCATATGCAATACGCCTAGGTGTGACCAAGACCTGCATCAGCAGCTCCACGTCTGCTGATCAGCACCTGATCTCATGTGAACAGGCCCTTAGGGGTTTTTGCCACGTTTTTGATGCGTTCAAGTACAAAAAAAATGTTTTTTTTTGCTGGAGTGGGGCTGTTAGTATGTTAGCTGCAGTGCAGTGCGTTTGACGCGTTTGCGTTTCCTGACCGTTTCCGGACGTGACAAAATGTGACATGCAGTATTTTTTCTGCATGACACATTTTGCCAAGCTGAACAGACTGCGCACGTGAGAACTGGAGCCCATAAAACACATAGGGATACATTTTGAGTGCAGCAGCGTACGGAGCCGGTCAGCACACAAAACGGACGTCATGTGAACAGGCCCTTAAGGCGTATCTAAACCTAAAAACATTGTGGTGGCTGCAATAGTTTTCTTTTCAGGCTTTGTGCCTTAAATTTCATCTGGTAATTCTGCAAATAAACACAGGATGACTACACTCACTCCCCTGTACCCATGGAAGAGGGAGCCATGGTTTTGACCCCAAGGTGCTTTTCTGATTTGGACTACTGACCCCTCCTCATCTCCATTACATAAGGAGGTGTTCTTTTGTAGTTCACAGAAGGCAGCTGGAAAAACGGAGAAGACTGTTTGATTTATCCGTTCAGCACACAGGATGTTACAAGAACACAAAAATTATGGCCAATGAAACCTTTATTTTTCTGTAGTTGGCCTGCAAAAAGAAAACAAATCCAGCCACCACATCTAAAAGGCCAATAAGCTGCAATAGATCATGTTTGTGTTTTCCAATTTAAATAGCCTTTAGACGTTGTCCTATTCATCCAAGCGTACTACAAATATTTTTTCCGTAGGAGTACTACCTTGCCAAGTCAGCACTATATGGCCAAGATGAAAAACCATCATATAATGACCAGATCCAAGTACAATGGACTCCACTGCTAGCCAAACAGGCAGGACTTTGGGTTTAGCCTACCCGAACAGTTAACACTTTGCTAGCCAGAATTCTGGCCAACTCGACACATTCAAATTAAAGTATAACTGATGTCAAAATGGTTTTAGTTTTACATTAAATGGAGGGAGTAGAACCTCTGTCAGGTTTTTATCGTGATCTGCTCCCTGTTAGGGAGAGTCATCCTCTGTATCTGTCCTGGTGACCACTGAAAGTCAAAGAAAATCCCACATTTTGGGGTGTCATCAGAACAGGAACAGATGGGAAATCTTCCAAAGGGGACACTAGTTTTGGTGATCCTGCTGACCACCAAGGATTTTTGCATCTTTGGAGGGATTTCCCCTCACTTCCTATTGTGGCCATCGGACAGGAAGTGAAGGTAAATCTCCCCAATAGAAAACGAATAGCAAGAAAGGGGGGGCCCACACCTGACAGCGCCCCCACTTTCACTATCCGCCCAAAAAAAGGTTTGGCTTGACTTTTCAGTTTTACTGTAAAGGTGGTTTAATAACCTACTGAAGATTTACAAAAATTACAGTGGCAAGTCTATAACACCCTAACTTAAAGCCGGCTGTCTCCATATAAGCCAATACACTTTGTCGAGCCATTAAAACTGCCATTTAGTTTGTGTACAGTGTGACTAGCGAACATTGCCCTCAGCCTGCAAACCACACACAGCTCTCCAATTAGCTGCCTACAGCAGTAAGTCTCTTTATCCTTATGAGAGGATTTGTTCGTTCTCAGTGGAAAGGATGATCCATCTTCATATCTTATTCATTTTCTGCAGACTGGACTGGAAACAATGTCACAAGATATCAGTATCGAAGAGCACATAGGTGAGCGCCTAATGAGAGCGGCATGTCAAACAGCCAATGTTCAATACTCAATAAGCAAGTTTCTGAAAACAATATTTTTTTTTTTAAAAGCGCTTCAGGTTGTTAATCGTTTTCGGTGACCTTTACACAGAGCACTTTTATTGGAGCAATTTTCTTATCTATCACTACCAAGAGTATATTAAGATCATCAATTACCCACTTTTACAATCAAGACTGACATCACAGCCTTTCTTCTGGTGGAATGATGGACGGTTACACCCAAAGTGATTACGTAAAATTTCAGAACTAATGACAAAGACTTACGAAACGAATTACAAAGTTCAAATGCCATGGAACAAACCTATGCCGTTAGGTAGGAGAGAAATAAAAAAAATAAAAAATACAGTCACACAAGTCACTTGAAAATGTTCTTACTGCATTTTCAACCTCGAGAGATTAGCTACGTCAATGCCTTGGGCTTTTATCTGACATTTGCACCATTTCAAAAAGCTTAGAGTGCGCATTCCATTATTTGCTTAATAGGTCAGAAGACCTGCAGGCTGGGTAAACCTCAGTGACAAAATGTACTGCTAGGATTTGACATAAAAAAAACCCCCAATAAAAACCATTTACTGTGGTATCCCAGGTTTAAATCGGTTTCAGGCAAGTTTCATTAGAATGTTTCATGGCAGTCTCACTTGCCACTATCCTGGATCTGAGTAAAGCTTTTCTGACAGATGCTCAACTGCCCAGCTGCTGGTGTGCCCTGACATTGCAAAATGCGCTCAATCAAGCGACAACGCACTTATGTTATAACACTGTAATGTCACAAGTGACATTTCATTAAGTTCTATGTGCTTACCGCGGTGCAATGCAGTAATACAACTCACCGAGTGCTTGGATCAGCCACAAAAGGGTCGAGTGTGGTTGGTGTAAGAAACACAACTGATATAACCCATCAAAAAAAGAGGAGAGGATCCCTGGCAACTGCTTGAAGAAGCGCAAGCTTAAAAGAACTATGGCCCAACCTTATCTGGCCATAGTTTTCTTTACGGTCACAGCGGGACATGTCCTCCTGTGACCCAAAAACAGCACAGAGCGACGCTGCAGCCCGGGAAAGATCCCTCTACCTGCTTTAGAGGAAGATCAAGCTGTGCCCGCCCCCACCCATCTGTCCCTCCAGCCAGTGCTAGAGGACTGGAGAGTGGAATCCCTGTGGGGGAGCATGACTGACTGCCACCACTCTCTGCAAGAAGATTGTGAACTGAGCGAACAGCGGTTTGTGATCGCTCAGTATTCGACCCATAGAGCCGACATGTGACAGCATCAGTGTCACACGTCGGCTCTAATTATGGAGAAGAGTATTTCACTGTCACCAAAATTCTCCTTTAAGAAGTTATGCTGTCCACTAACTTAGTTATTCTAGGACAAAAAATGAATCTTAAAAGGGTCACAAAAAATGAAAAAGGTGAACTCACCCTCCTCAACCTCCCCACTACACTTAGCTGCAAGGAGGATGCCCATACCAGCCGGTATTACAGTCCTGACACTTAAAAGCTACACAGCCCCAAAGGCTTTTATAGCAACATGTTTGCAATGGGAAGCAGTCACTGGTTACTGATATTACGAGATAGCATTGACCAATGAGTCTCTCTTTCCCAGGATGACATTTTAGAAGAGATTTTCATTGGTTAGCATGATCAAGTGGCCTCTATGACCAAAAACTGCTCACCATTGTAAACACCATGTTGCTAAAGCATGGTCAGTTTTTTATGTTTTAGGTACTCTGTAACCATAGAGAATGCACAGCACTAAAGTTATAACTCCCCTTAAAGTTGTGCGGTTTTTGTTCGGTATCACAACATGCTAAAAAAAACACTTACCTCATAAGACCATACACACTGCACTCCAGCAAACCTCCGAACACATCTGCCAATTTCAACATCCTCGTGGGTGGTGTACAGCTCCCTGAGACACTGTCCAATGTGCGGACTCATCCGACGCAAGACCTCTCTGCTCATGATCACCCCAGGACCACCCATGCAAAAGTTTTCACCTGGCTCCAGGGCCAGTTTGCCCATCTCCTCTGTAGTACCCAGACCAGTCTGTCCTAAAAACAAAGGCTCGCTGCTGTTAAGGCTGCGCAGGAAGCTCTCTAGGCGGTCTCCTTTGATATAAACATCGTCATCTGCTCTCATGAACCATTCATATTGATCAAGATAGTGATCGTGCATATATTTTAACATCATGAAGGACTTCTTTTGGGGCGGATAGGAGTCGTCTACACCTTGGAGCGCTACAATAGGAATTGGTATGGATGTGTCTGAGCCCTCACTTGAAAAGAACTCCACATTTCCAGGGATGGAGTGTGCCCAAGTTCTGAAAAAGAAAGATATAGGATTTGGATTTAGCATACATCCAGAAAAAACGGTACACAGTCAGTAAAAATATGCAGAGTAACATCAAGTCATACGGGGGTAGGGGGGGGGCAATGAACTTTAATGTTGTATGTGAACATTACAGATATCCCATATAATATAAAAATGACGACACGCGGTCAATGCTTTTTTGAACACTAGTTTTTAAAGAAAAATATAAAGACGAGCCAACCCTTTGTTTTTTGATGGAGACCCTCTCGGTCGGGGTTTTAGTGCCGTCTGTTTCTAATGAGCAGATTTTCCCTTACTTCCGGTCAAGACAGGAAGGGATGGGAAATCTCTCCAATGGGGACAGACAAAAAGGAAAAAAACAAAACATTTTTGCTGCCTGTGCATACTGTGTGGGTGTTGAGCACACAACAATATTTTCCGTTGGAGTTGGGCTTTAAACCCCAATGCCAGCCAAAACAATTTCAATTTGGATCTAGCAAGGACGGTTTAAACTAGGAGACGCAACACTAACACATCTTGAAAATATCTCTTCAGAGCTCTGTGTTTAATGTACACATTTTCTACTAAATCACAAAGTGAACACCATTATGTTTCCCCTCCTTTTACAGGTTTTCTATACGATCACATGACCGAAAAGCTCCGTTGAGTGCGTGTCTGTGTGGCACAATCTCTCCTATTCCCAACAAATCCTTAGAGCGATGGATGCCAGCAGCAATGGTGTCACAGGCTATAGAAATTCACAGTGGTGTCAGCCATACAGACATCAACACACCCGCCATCTTTACGGTCACATAAGTAAACAGGTAACATGTTAACACAAAAAAAAAAAGGAAGTAGTTTATAATTCCTAAAAATTTATGCACTGAATGCAGAGCAATGGGGAGGCAACATTTGAGAGGAGTTCTTGTTTTGCTTTTCCTTCCACTTTAAACCTAGGGTATATTTTAAATCCAGTCTGTGGCCCCCTCACTTCCTGACGACCCTTTGTGCCTGTTTGGAAGATCTCTTCTACAGGTTATAAGGCTACAAGACAAAGCGAACAGATTCTAAACCTTTCCCAGCTATACATAAACTAATGTTTTGGGAGTAGCAGAAGTCATTGTCTAACATGTAACAAGAACTCGTTTTAACGCTTAAAACAAACAGCGATCACAAAGAAGACTGCTACATTTATAGCTACAGAACAATCCAAACAAAAATTAGTGAAAGTTTAACTATATTCACATATGCTCGGTACACGTTCCTGACAGTCTAAATGTCACAAAGTTGCATTCAACATGAGTTCCTGCCGAGAAGAACTAAACAACACGGGAGCATTACAACTCAATCCCACTTTGTGGATCACAATTGGTGTTCTTGTGATGAAGTGAAAAGCAGATGTTTGGTAACATATAGCTTGGCTAACCTGAACTACAAAAGCAGATTTCTAATAGGATGCTATAAGTTACTACATGCAACAGGTTTCATTAGATTAAAGCAAACCTAAACTCAAGCGTCAAAGGAAACCAATACAGAGGTAGTATGAAGGTGGTCTCTGTAAATCTCTGCTTGTGAACATGCCAAGTCCCTCATAGTCATGCTCACCCGATGACTTCAGTACTTTGAGTCACTGACCTCAAAAGATCAAGAGTTGAGACTTCACTCTAGGCTTTCTGATCTTCATGTTTTATACAAATGAGAGCCTTAAACTTCATGAAGGGGGTCACTGAGCTGAAGAGTTTGGGGACATCTGCTTTTAAAAGCGACAAATGCGTGAACACAAATTTCCGTTCACTTTGAAAACCCAATTATTGGCAGAGGAAACAAGTAAAACAGTTAGTTGCTGTTCCCATGATTCCTTCCGTAAACTACACACTGCATGAGGCAAGTTTAAAATTGGCTGAGCCCAATGGCTCAAATGAGCCCTAGAGTCCAGGTCCGATTAGGATGCAGACTTACAAGAAAAAAAAAGTCCTGTTGCAAAATTATATTAATAAAACACTGGGCAGTCATTCACTTGTGTTTAGTTTTAGGAAAATACTACACTTCGCTATGTGTTAGTAGAGGGCTTTTTATCCTGTTTGACTATCTCACCAGACACCAGATTTTTAATGCTGGTTCTACAAATGTTTGTCACCTTCGAGTGAAAATTGACAATAGACCATAGCCTCTTCACAGAAGACTTCCTGCTCCATCAGTTACCAATGTAAAGTCCAAGAACAAAACACTTCAAAAGGGGAGCTCTACCTTACATGTCATAAGACCTCTTTACTGCATACTTAAAGCAGAATGTTGAACTACAATCCACTTTTAGGATGCAATGTTCAAAAATCGATCTTGAGAATGTGAACCAGTCCAGAAAAGAGTAGGCCTGCGGTGCTCAGGGGGGATAGAGCACACTTGCAGTTCCTGAAAAGCTTGCCATTCTAGTTAGAGATTGTTACAGAAACAACATTCTTCAAAAAGGCATAGAGTACATTCAATATACTATACACGTAGGAACATCTCAGCTGCAAGTGCAATGATCAGCTTAGGGACTGAACACAAATGATAATATACGGCACTTGCCACTGTCACCATTTCTCTTGAAAAAGGAACCCAGCATGGTCCTCTTCGTGTGTGTTACGCGGTTATGAATTTGCATGAAACTCAGGAATAATGGAACGGTAAGTTTCCACATTATCAGCTTAATCACCTCACTACAATGAAATGATCACTGCATGAAATAAGCATATTGTGGCTTTCACTAAAAAAGAAAAACATAGGGGTGCAGATCAAAGCAACTAGATTGCAAGTCACGTTTAGTAGTTCATAAAAAGTAATGTGCCATTAGGGTGATAGGGAAACGGGTCCCAAAGAGCAAAATGTACGGGAAACAGCCGATCCCACAGCAATCCAATTCCACATCACAGGACATGCCAAGGCAGAGCTGCTAGGGGTTATGTAAGCCACAGCGCCAGCCATTTCCCAAAGACATTTGTACTGCGCTCCCTAAATATATATTATTTCTAAGGAAAACCACAGAGATAAGATCAGCCACACTTGTGGTGCATTACTTTGATCTCTTCTGTAAAAGAGGATTTTTCTGTAAACTGACCACCAAAGTTAGATGGCGGGTAAACTACTGGCATGATGCAACTACACAAAATGATTTATTTTGAAACATCTTATTCGAAACATTTAGGCTCAGATTTCCCATGCATTTATAAAAGGCAAGAAGGACAAAAATATCTAGCACCCTCAATCACTACTGCACCAAAGACTATTTGGCCATGAGGACATGGTGCAGTTTGAACAATGAACCAAATGTCTATGAATGCCCTCAATTTAGATGGCCAATGGAATACAATAACCACAATAAAATCTATATCCAACTCTAGAATGGCTACAGGAGGGACCGAACCCTAACCAAGAGTGACATCCGTCCATACTCCCTTGCATGACCTGGACTTGCTACAATCCTCTCCCAGACAGGCCAGTGAACTGAAGCAGCAGGTGTGCAGTGAAAGTAATGTTCCATTTTCTATACAGAAAAGGGAATAACCAGCATCCAATTAGAGCTGCAACAACTATTCAATATTAGTCGATTAAAATCAACGATGGAAAACGTTGTCAACGTTATCCATGGTCGATTATTCGGCTATCAATTAAATTGACTGTTCCCCGCTCCACGCCGGTTAAGCCGTGCACGCTGAGGACATGCCTCTGCTTTTCTCCTCCCTGTTAGCGCCCTTACTCACTGCTGCCCGCCGACAGTCAAGGGCCCACGATTCGAAGTAAGTCACTCAGCAACGACATTCTAAAACTTTTTAATGTTTCCCTTAAAAAAACAAACACACACACAAAAAAAAAAAAACACGGCACACTGCAGAACACCAGCAGCTATAGAGGAACAACAAATTCTCGCAAAAATACATTAAACAGCCTGTATAATGTATTATTGCTGGGATTTGTTGTTCCTCTATTGCTGGTGGTATGCTGCATTGTGCCGCTGTATAATGTATTATTGCTGGGATTTGTTGTTCCTCTATAGCTGGTGGTATGCTGCATTGTGCCGCTGTATAATGTATTATTGCTGGGATTTGTTGTTCCTCTATAACTGGTCAGTGGTATTCTGCATTGCGCCGTATAATCATTATACAGCGCAGTGCAGAATAATGCCAGCTACAGAGGACTAAAAATCCCACCAATAATACATTATAGTATAATTTACTATTGATGTGATTTGTTGTATTTCCCTCAAGCTGCTGGTATTTTGCATTGCGTCGCTGTATAAATGTACTATATTGCACACCACACTTTTTTTCCACTTCCACCAACTAGTCCATCACTGGAGCCTTTTTTTTAATCCGATTAATGGAACTCAATAATGGGCTAACTAATCGTTTGTGAAAATAATCGTTAGCTGCAGCTCTACATCCAATTGTTGCAATATATCTATTTCCCGGTCAAGCCCACCACCATCCATTCAGTACGATAAATCACTCAAACAGCTTAAAAATGTCCCATTAATAGTAATTCTTGCTATATTATGGTATCTTTTTACTGAGCTAATAATGTGCAAACTATAGAAAACCCGGCAACTTAAGGTGCCCACACAGCTTGCGATAATCGTACGATTATCGTAAGGTGTGTGGAAGATGTGCGACCTCTACTACTGTCAGGTGGGCACGACTTATCTTACGAACATGTTCGAAAACCCGCCGAGAATCGTACGATTTTCGGCGGGTGTGTAGCATGTTCGTAAGATAAAAGCCGGCCGGGCCGGTGCCCGTTCAGCATTGCGGTCATCGGAAGCCCGCCCCTCAGCAGGGCAGGCTTGCGAATCTTCGGCAGATATGATCTGCCTGTCCAAGATAGGCAGATCGTACATTTTTTTAAATTACCTTACAACCATCCCAAGACAAAAGTCTTGCGATGGTTGTAAGGCGTGTGCCCAGCCTTAGAAGTTCTGAATAAAGAAGTTCAAAGCAAAGTTGGCAACTTGGAAGTTGAAGTTCCCAATACATG